ATTACTTAAATTAGAAAGATCTTCTAAAATTTTAAGTTTCGGACTATTGACCATTATAGATGTCCTGCACTGTATAAAAAAAATTGAAATCAATTGTGAAAATCCATTCCTTATATAGGACGTTCCCTCCTGTTCATTGGAACAAGGTAAATAATCTCGCCTTGTATTGGAACATTATAAAAACATTATCAATTCACTTAATTTTCAGGTAAAAAAAAATTCAAATAACAAATCCTTCTAATAATCATCATTAAACAATTTTATTTTTTGGTTAAAAAAAAACAAATAATCAATAAATATTACACTATTTTCATCCATAATAACATTTTTAAAAAAATGCTTACATTCAATAACGAACTTTTTTGTGGATTGTTAATTTGGACTCTTTGGTTTCTTGATTCACCATAAAACCTACCAAAATCAATTCCATACTATAAATCAAAAAATTGATCAAATAATCGGTAAAATAGAACAAAGAAGGAAACAATTTAAAAATAAAACAAACCAACTTACTAGTGATAAACAATATTCACAAGAAATAGAAAATCTATGGAAGGATTTCAAACAATTATTTGAAAAAATACTGGGTTGAATCCCAATTTTTCATTTAATGAAATGGTCATTGAAATTTGCCAATTACTAGGAGATAGAAAAGGAGTTGCTGCTTCCACAATAAAAAACTTCTATCAACGAAAAACCAATCCTAGAAGTAAAACAATAGAAGCAATTCAGGAATGGGTCAACAAAGAAAAGAAGAAAGAGGTGGAGAGTGAAGATTACAAAGAAGATAATAAAAACAATGAAGATACAAATATTAATAATATTATTATTGATAATAGTAATAATAGCAGTAGTAATAGTGAAAGTTGAATTTTTGTCAGAGTGCCCAAAGAATAGGTAATACTTACAAATGGCTTTGGGTCCGAGTATTTTCCTCCCATGCAAGTGCTCTGACAATTCTTTAACTTATATTTTTATAAATTATTTATTTATATATTTTTCTATTATTAGTTGAATTAAAATAAAAATAATTTTCTTGTTGTTTAATTCATTTGTCTGTAAAAAAAATTTTTTTTTAATTGCAAGTCATGTGCCCACTAATTTATCATTGATCCAAATTATTTATAGAAACAATTAATTGTAACAATTATGATCTAAATCAACAAAAAAAAATGACAACAAAAGAAGAAATTAAACAAGAATTAATTGATGCTGTGAGATAGTAAATCTTGGACCTATCAATTACCCGGTTAATATTGACCAATTAGAACGAATTTACTACGGAAGTCATGTGATGCACTAAATATTATATTATTGTAACGGCTACGCTGCACATTGCACAGTGTCATATGAAAGACTATTCCTATTCATATTTGTACTGCCACAAGAGGTATAAATACACTTGGCTTTAGACCAAGTTAAAAGGAGAATAAAATAAATCAATTGTTAATATTGTTAATAACAACCTTGATAACAATAGCATAATAATAACTCTTAATAAATATATAACCTTACATAAAATAGTCTTTGACTGTAAGTAACTAATAAACCCAGTGTGGTTGACCCCCAGCCCTTCTAATGGTTAATGGTCTGGCCAACCTTTAATTATTAGTTGGGAACCCTTTTAATTATTCAGATATATCTCAAGGGGACGCCTTTGGGATATAATCATTTACATAGAACCTAGGGACTCTTTTATTCAGGAAGATAAAAGTTATTTTTATTATTAATCTTTGACTGTAAGTCAGCAAGTAGGCTGTGTGTCAAACAATAGAATCAACCGTAAGTCAGCAAGTAGGCTGTGTGTTGAGCTATAAATAACCTATTAAATAGGGAACTCGGATTGCATGCTCACAATGCAAAGATGAGATTAGATAAGGCGACAAAGAATTTGAGGACATTCGAAGAAGGGAAGGATGATGGAATGTGGTTGAGGGAAAGGTGAGAAGTGGAGAACTTAGTGAAAGGGAGGAGGGGCAGCTGGTTAGGCTGGAAAAAGAAGAAGGTTGAAGAAGAACATGAACAATTGGGATGAACAGGTGCGGAAGTTGCAGAATAAATTAGCTGACTTTGGTGAGAAAGGTAATGAACAAATTGCGTAAAAAAAAAAAAATTTTTGTTTTTTCATTCTTTTTGTTCCATTTATTTATTTGTTTGTTTGGATATACTGTTCACAATGTCTTTCTAAAATTTCTAAATTATTTTTAGTGGAATTGTTGGAAGAGAAATTGGAAGTGGAATTGGGTTTAGAAAAGTCTAAACGTATTAAAGTAATAGAAGCATTTGCAAAAACTTCTTCAATTGACAGTCTTAATCAAAATATTACAGCATCAAAGGGAACAATATGAAGTGACAAATTTTCTGACAGACTTTTATGAGATTGTATTTATTCAGAAGAGCAGAAAAATGGATTGCAATTCACAGTTCATTTTTCTAGTCTTTTCCAATTTGATGGTGAAGGAAGTAAATATTTACAGCTTTATTATTTGAGATGTCATACCATCCTGAAATTGGTGAGTTGTATTGCTTTTGTCTCAGTATTTTATATGGGGCATACTGCAACAAAACCAGACAAAGTGAACATTTTATTATGTGATATGAATGAGAGGCTGATTGTGATGTGGCTGTAAAATTGACCAGTGTGACTGATGACATTTTGAAAAGTAATAATGGTGCTTGTTCATAACTTATGGACTTGTTAATTTTAATGCTCACTTTATCATACCAAAATGTGATGAATATAAACCATAACATGATTAATATAGGATTACCTCTATATATAAAAATAATAATATGAAGTTAATTTACATCAGATCTACAATGGAACCCAAGAATTATAGTACTATCAGAAGTATTTTGAAGAAAGAGCAAGGTGAAAAAATTGCACCTTATATTTTCAAAATAAATGATACTCAAACACTTGAGGCTTATCTAAGAAAAGAAAGGATTACTTATGAAATTTACCATGAAGAAAGAAAATCATAACTAATAAAAGAACATTGTCACAAAACCATGATGAATCTAGAAAGAAAAGAAAATTAGAAGAAAAATAATTTACCACCTAATTCAGGTTAATTAATCCCTTAATTTTTTTTCTTTTTTCCTAACAGACAGGCAAAAACTCCTATCATCAATACTATTATTGTTCCTCCCAAAATGTAAGGTAAGTAATTGGTTGGGTTGGTTGATGGTAATTGTTCTTGCTTTTTCTCAGCAATTATTTGTTTAAGTTCAGAATGGGATAAAGAGGTTTTATTATTATTATTATTATTATGATATTCAACTACTAGTTTATTTTTACTATCAAGAGTAACATTTTTTATATCATGTTGAATAAAAAACTGTTCTAATTGTTCTAAATCAGAAAGAGAAAAGGCCTTTTGCTCTTCTTCATTAAATTCATAAACATTTTTATCTTTATTATTATCCTTTGGTGTTGTTGATTCCTGAGGAGTAGGAAGAGGAGTTTCTTCTTCACTTGGAGAATCACTATCTTTTTCTAAGGGAGGAACTTCTTCTTTCTCTTTTTTTTGGTTAGATTTCCCTTCCTCATCTATATTAAACTTCTTTCTTATTTCATCCACAAACTCCTTTTCTTTTTGTTTTCTTATTTCTTCATTTTTTTGTTTTGCTAGTTCAACTAACTTTTCTTTTAACTCTTCAGATACTCCTTTTAACTTTTTCTTTCCTAATTTGAGAATATCTTCAAGAGAGTAATTATTGAGATTAGCCAAGATTTCTTTTATTGGTTTATCTCAAACTCTGGAACTTCTTTTTTATCTATTTCCAACACTTGAAGATTTTTCAGTGATTGTCAATCAGGACATGCTCAACATAAAAATAGTTTTTCTAATTTATCCATCACTTCAAGTTTTAAGACTTGTCTATCAGAGGAGGAATAAAATAAGTAATGATGATTGGAAGAATCAAGAAATTCTAAATTTTTTGAATTACTATGGTTGGCTCGGTCTAAAGATCTCCTATAGCTGCGCCACGCGCTCAAATTTCAAAAATTGCAATTTTGTGATTCGTTCAAAAATGCAATAAAATTTTTTAAAAAAGGGTTACACGTGATTTTGGTTAAAAAACTATTTTCCTTACTGCCAAATTTAGATATGATGGTCGAG